TGTTCACCTTTGTTTTGCACCCTCATTGCAAATGTCAACACAATGAAAAAGGCAAATAATATTTTAGTATTACTATGAAAATACCTTCAATTTCATGGATCTCCAGAATAGTCTTTGAGATCTCCAGAAGTTCAGAGATTACACTTGAAGAATAGCTGGCTTAGTTCTTTTTTTTTTTTTTTTTTTCCTTTTTTCCCCTCCTGCTATACTTGGAAACTAGCTTAGTTCCTTGCGTAGCTTTACCTTTGCTTCCAGACCACATTGATCAATGGCGATGAAGTAGAGGTAAAGGATTGAGGTTTTTAGCTTGATTACTAAATAATAATAAAAGCAATGCCATTATCCAAGATAATAAAATAGGATGAGAAGTGTGTTGAAAGAAGAAAATGAGTTCTGAGGTTCAGGGGACTTCAGGAATACAGAGGTGGGAATGTTGATTAGTACAGCTCAGAAAAAGGTTTTCTGAGGGTTAGGAGGCCTCACTGTACTAGTGGTTGTTGAGAGAGAAGAAGAGGGCCCTTGGGGACCATCAACATTTAAGAGGCCAGGAGGAAGAGAAAAGGATGAGAGTAGTGTCAAGGATATCAGGAAAGAATTTCAAGAAGGTCAGCACTGCCTAATACTTCAGAGAACTCAGAATGAAAAGACTTGACCATTGGATTTGGTAATTACTGGTGACCTTTACCAGAGCAGTAGAAGATAAAATCCAGATTATGGAAGAGTGCAGAGGCAGCTATTTATACTATTCTTAGAGAAGTTTTAAGGTAAAGGGAAAGACATTTTGGGCAATTCATTTGAGAGATAGGCTGTACCAGGGACATGAGATATGTGAGTAAATTCTTAGGCTGAGAGGAAGGAGCCAGTGGAGAAGATATTGATGAGCAATCTGGTCCAAAAGAAAATTGATGCAGCAAGTTGGTATTATAGGTGTGGTACAGTTAACCTGGGAGTAGTATAGTGTGTACTTGTAGAGAAGTGAGAAGCTGATGAAAACTGGGTTTTCCTGGCCAGAAAAATGCACAGATCTATGACATTTGGCATAAAATTTTTTTGTCAACATGGGACATTCCCTTACTAATTTTTTTCTGTTTAATTATTGAGTGATTAGTTTTATGTATTTGCTTTAAATCCACTCTGAACAAGTTTAAAGAGATTTTTAAATACAGATGATTTAAATTTAACAATCTGTGATTCTCTCAGAATGAAACCTATGTTTTGGCAACTTTTAGTCTGTGGCAATGTGTGACAAAAAAGGGTGGAATTCTTCTTTCTTTTATGTAGGGATTGTGTGGGTCTCCTTTCCCCCCAGGTGAAAGATATGTGGATCTCCAGAATGGCTACAGTGTTTTCTTTCTGGATTCAGACTTTGGACAACAGTCTCAAGTAGTGCTTGTCTTAAAAACATGTGTTGTGTTTTTTTTTGTATGCGGTTGTGTTTCTAACATCCTTTTCTTCTTTCTTTTCTAGTCTGTTCTCTGGGGAGGCAGTAAGGGGCTGTGGAGCTGGCCTCGGCACCGGGAGAGGCTGGACTTCCTGTCTCTCTGTGCTGAATGGCTGCGATGGCGCCCGCTCTCACTGACGCAGCAGCTGAAGCACACCACATCCGGTTCAAACTGGCTCCCCCATCCTCCACCTTGTCCCCTGGCAGTGCCGAAAACAACGGCAACGCCAACATCCTTATTGCTGCCAACGGAACCAAAAGAAAAGCCATTGCTACAGAGGATCCTAGTCTAGACTTCCGAAATAATCCTACCAAGGAAGACTTGGGAAAGCTGCAACCACTTGTGGCATCTTATCTCTGCTCTGATGTAACATCTGTTCCCTCGAAGGAGTCTCTGAAATTGCAGGGGGTCTTCAGCAAGCAGACAGTCCTTAAATCTCATCCTCTTTTATCTCAGTCCTATGAACTCCGAGCTGAGTTGTTGGGGAGACAGCCAGTTTTGGAGTTTTCCTTAGAAAATCTTAGAACCATGAATACGAGTGGTCAGACAGCTCTGCCACAAGCACCTGTAAATGGGTTGGCTAAGAAATTGACTAAAAGTTCAACACATTCTGATCACGACAATTCCAGTTCCCTGAATGGGGGGAAACGAGCTCTCACTTCATCTGTTCTTCAGGGGGGTGAAGTAGGAGGATCTGAATCTGGGGACTTGAAGGGGGGTATGACCAATTGCACTCTTCCACATAGAAGCCTTGATGTAGAACACACAACTATATATAGCAATAATAGCACTGCAAACAAATCTTCTGTCAATTCCATGGAACAGCTGGCACTTCAAGGAAGCAGTAGGTTATCACCCGGTACAGACTCCAGCTCTAACTTGGGGGGTGTCAAGTTAGAGGGTAAAAAGTCTCCCCTGTCTTCCATTCTTTTCAGTGCTTTAGATTCTGACACAAGGATAACAGCTTTATTGCGGCGGCAGGCTGACATCGAGAGCCGTGCCCGCAGGTTACAGAAACGCTTACAGGTTGTGCAAGCCAAACAGGTGGAGAGGCATATACAACATCAGCTGGGTGGCTTTTTGGAGAAGACTTTGAGCAAACTGCCAAACTTGGAATCCTTGAGACCCCGGAGCCAGTTGATGCTGACTCGAAAGGCTGAAGCTGCCTTGAGAAAAGCTGCCAGTGAGACCACCACTTCAGAGGGACTTAGCAACTTTCTGAAAAGCGATTCAATTTCAGAGGAATTGGAGAGATTTACGGCTAGTGGCATAGCCAACTTGAGGTGCAGTGAACAAGCATTTGATTCTGATGTCACGGACAGTAGTTCAGGAGGGGAGTCTGATATTGAAGAGGAGGAACTCACCAGAGCTGATCCTGAACAACGCCATGTACCCCTGTAAGTAGAATCCGTGCATAATGTCATTCTTGAGAAATGGTGGCACAAGAAAGGACTTAGTGAATCCCCATTATGGAGAGAATATACTTCTTTGTACATAGATGTCTAGGTTCCATTTGTCTTTCCCAATTTTAGGTAGGTGGTACATATACCTGTTAATGAAAACATGGAAGGTATTTCTGCTATAGTGTTTCTCTAGGCTAAAATATGCTAATTTCCCATTGAAGGCTTTTTAAGAAAAAACTAGAAGACGGTCTATTTGTAGAATTGTACTAGTATTTCTCTCAGAGTGAATAATTAAATTTCTTTTGAAACTGTATGGGACATTTTGGTAAGTTTTAATGGATTGACTGTTCAGATTTTGTTTCCATCAAGTGGGGACAAATGTTTAGTTGACCTAGTTAACTTTGCTGCAATTTATAGTTGCTTTTAATTGAACTTTCAGCAGAGAACATATCCAGTCCTCAATTTTAACACTGGAGATTTTCTTACATTCTAAGGACTAATAATTAGAAAATGCTTCAGAATATTTTACACATTTCCTCCAAGCACAGTACACTTTCACAGCTTGATAAGAGAGCCCATCTTTATCAGATTTTTGTTTTATTTTCTCTCAGCTAAGTTAAATGTATTGACACATTTGGGATAAATTCTTACTGGTTTTTCTAAATCTGTTGGTTTAAGAATGCTATATAAACTTTTTATGGGTAGTAGTCTAAATTGGCATGATGGAGACAATTTCACTCTTGGTTCTTCCCAATTCTGTGTTCACGTACTTAAATAAGAAGTACTATATTATACTCAAATATGGTTATAAATATTAGAACTGTGAGAGAGGGAGCGTGAGCAGTTGGCAAAGGGGCAGGATAATTTACTAGCAGTAGATCCTCTTTTATCTTTTGGTACAGATGCTGTAAAGGTTGGATTA